ATCTATCTATCTATCTATCTATCTATCTATCTATCTATCTATCTATCATCTATCTATCTATCTCTATCTATCATCAATCTATCATCTACCTTCCTCCCTGCCTCCTTCCCTCCCTTCCATCCATAGAGAAAGCCAATTTTTTGGGTGGGTGGGTGACAAAGGATGAAACAGCATTTTGGTATCATGATGCAAATTCCATTCCTTTTATATATAAGTCATATATGTGCATCATATGCACATATGGAAAAAGTTTGCGCTATAATAGGATTTCCTGCCTGAGCAGGGGGTTGGAGTAGAAGACCTGCAAGGTCCCTTTCAACTTTGTTATTCTGTTCTGTTCTATTTAACATTTTGATGAAAATATGTTTATATTCCATGATCTGCTTATCATTTGACTATCTAATATCATCTATGTCTGTCTGTCTGTCTGTCTGTCTGTCTGTCTCTATCATTATTGTCATCCTGATCTCTCTCTTTCTTTCCATCCATGGCTTATAAAAATTTCTTTCTCTAAAAGTTTATGCTTCTCCTATAATGCCTTTGCTGCATCTTCAACTTTTTTTAAAAAAAAATGCAGACATCATCAGAATTCTCTTTATTTTTATTTCAATTAGAAGGATGGAAAGCAAATCAACAAAGTTTGCAATCACTGTTGGAAAATGCCAGCTGTGATGTTGTAGGGTGGCTCATCTCTGACCTCAAGTATATTGCTTTTCTGTTTGTTTAATATGGCAAGAATCTGTATATCCATAAGTCAATGCTTGTATATGATTATCCGATGATACTTTTTTTTAATGCCATTAGACCTGCACGGATATTCTCTTGTTTTGATTTTCAAACAAAAGTAGTATTTGAATGCAGTGCTTCCATTACAGTAGTTTTTGAAAATTGCTGTGTTGTAAAACTGTTTCCCAACTTTGGTCGGCATCATTGCTTTCCTCCTTCCTGCTTTAGCATTGTTTTTCCCCCCATACATTTTGGTTTGTTTTCTGGGTTTTCTCCAAGATTTTAGAATTCTGAATTATCATTTCCGAAATGGGATGAATTTCTCCACTAATTTCAGTTCCAAATATTATATAAATTGCCTTAGTTTTGACTTCTTTCTGCTTTTTACAATTGATCCACAAAACCTTAGTACATTAATCCAGGAAATACATCTTGATCAGTGGTGGGATTCAAATCGTTTTACCACTGGTTCGGTGGGCTTGGCTTGGTGGATGTGACTTGGTGGGCATGCTTTGCCTAACGCCGACCTGCAGCTGAGACCTGCAGTGCCAATCAGCTGAAAGAATAAAGAAGAGAAAAGTGCAGGGGCCTGTGGGAGGGGCCAATCCTGCACTTTTCTCTTTGTTTTCCTCTCAGCTGATTTGGAGGATTTTTTTCCTCCTCTCAGCTGATTGTCGGCTTTTTTTTTACTACCAGATCAGCCAAACCAGTCCAAACCGGTAGCATACCACCACTGAACTTGATGTGGTTGTGTGACTAGCTGAATCAGCATTCTGTGTTGTGGCATGTTTCTTTTGTGACACGGGAAGGGAGATTTGTGCCATTTACATGAAAAGAACATGAACCAACTTTATACTGGAATTAAAAAAAACTGTACAGAATCAAGGGCTCTCAATGTGGTGTCTATGTCACTAAAGGTCTCACAAAACCCTCCCTCAGAAGTGAACCATTTTCCTTTTAAAATAGGGGAAAGGAAGAGGCGTTTCTAGCAATCCAGTAAAGTTTTCTGGAGCCGCTTGTTTGTGATAGATATTTCCAGGCTCCATTACAAAAGCAAGCATGAAATATACTATTTATATCAGGGGTCCCCAAACTTGGCAACTTTAAGACTTGTGGACTTCAACTCCTAGAATTCTCCAACCAGCATAGCTGGAGTTGTCAAGATTGGAGACCTCTGATTTACATTGTTAAAGAACGAACTATTCAGTGAGTAACATCAATAAAACATTTTCCACAATATATTTATTATCTAAAGTTTTAATGTTGACTTTCATTTTAAGATGTTGCAACTCAGAAATATTTATTCACCACCACCCCAAATTCAAATAACTTTAATGAAACCAAAGCTCTAAGAAGCATTTTAACCTAAGTAAGACTCTGATAAAAACGTTCTTTGTTTTATCCAGTATCTTTACTGAATATGTTGTCATCCTCCATTATTTCAATTCTAGGTTAGCCGGTAACAAAAGAGGCTTGTTCTCCACTACTTCTGCTTCAGAACAAATTGAAAAGATTGTGTTGCTCCTGAAAAAGATTGAATATAAAATCAGATAATTTGTTAAATACAATAACATTTTGTCCCATATGTAAATAAGGCAAAAATGATAAGATTAAGCAATCAGTATTCATTAGCATTTTCCAAGATAGATTTTTTTTTTTATTGTAATAGAGGAAATGCAATATGCAGAGCTGAAAATTACAATTAAATTTTTGGGCATTATCTATTTATAGATGTTGCCATAATAGTATGCATGTCATCCAGATGTGTCATGCCTACGTGACAGTATAATAACTTGGCTCAGTCCCTCTCTCTCAGCCCTACTCACCTCACAGAGTGGCAATTATCATGACAAATATAATTATAATACTGGGGATCCAGACTAGCATTATAACTTGCTTAACTTTTATGTCCATGTTACTTTTTAGTTACTAAATTTATTTATTTATTAATTTTTATGCCCACCCATCTCATCACTGATATGATGATTCTAGGCAGCTTAAAATATAATAATAAAAAAAATAAAGGTAACATAAAGCAATTAAAATTAGGAAAATTAAATAGAAAGCTAACAAAGAGAAGAGGGTGGGTACCATGGGGGCAGAGATTCTCTTCCCCAATGGCCACCCCCAAGATGGCAGGCCCCTAGTGGTCTCTCAGGCCAGCCAGCAGTTTCCAAGTTCTTCTAGAAGGCCAGGAGTGTCAGAGTGGATCTTACTTCCAGTGGGAGATAGATGGTGGCTACAGCAGAAAAGGCCTACCACCCAAATTCATTAGCAGACAGGGCCTAAAGTAGGCCTCTACTGCTGGAGCAAGTGGGTGGACTTGCTAAGGAGCTAAGAATACCAACTCCTTAGATATCTTATATCTATAAAGAATATCTGGAGCCGTGGTGGCATAGTGGTTAGAATGCAGTATTGCAGGCTAATTCACTATTCACTGCCAGGAGTTTGATTCTGACTGGTGCAAGGTTGACTCAGCCTTCCATCCTTCCGAAGTCATTAAAATGAGGAGCCAGGTTGTTGGGGGCAATAGGCTGACTGTATAAACTGCTTAGAGTGGGTTATAAAGCACTATGAAGAGGTATATAAATCTTATTGCTATTGCTATCTGACTGGGTACAAAGTTTCTACTGCTAATTGAAATCTTATAGAAGAAGTACTGAGTCAAAAACTTCAATAAAAAGGGTTTAAATATATGACAATCGCTATAAAATAAGATATAAGATCCTTGGTGCAATTGCCTCTCTTTGCAATTCATTTTCCCTCATTAAAGAATAGCACTTCTCAATCCTATCTGAAGTAGTTTTCTGAATATTTCTAACATGTTTTCAGATTACTTTTATACTGATGACTTCAACCTTTTAAATTATATGAGAATGATTGATTAAGAACAAGATATTGGAATTGTAATCAATAGATATATCAACCAGGAGTGTGGTCACCATGAAAAAGTCAACATTTATTTTGGTGATGATTATTAAGAAAGGAATATAAAGCAACCCTATGCATATTGTCATAATGTAAATCTAGTTACAATTGTACCTGGATAAGTTTGAGGGAGAAAGCAAGGGAAATAAATGAAGGCAGCGAAGGATAAAGAATTTGAAAACAAATCCTGTTTAGAAAATACAGTGTACTTATTTGGACTGGAACAGTCTGGAAAGGAAAGTTCAGAGACAAATAGGTTCATGTTGGGAAATAAGAAGCATGATTGGCATGTATTCTATCTGCTGCAAAACTCCCTAGTTACTCCCTAGTAAACATGCAGTGTTTATACATGTGCACTAAATACTTTCAATTTTCAAAGATCCCTCCAATTTCCAAAGATCTGTTCCCAAGAATAACCAAAGACAAGCCAAATCTTTTTTGTTAACAAATTTTATTCAGTTTTTCACATAAAAACAAAAATCTCTTTTTAGTGGACAACATATTTCCGGGTCATCACCTTTACATACGAGTATGACAGCAATTATACATTCATATATGCATACTTAATTCTATTATTACCTTTTCCATTCCAAATTTCCGTAAGGAGAGAAACAAACACATTAATTCTAGTCTCTTTCATTAATCTCAGTCGAAACATCTTTTTGTTTGATTTCAATTATTTCAAATATAATCCTTTAATATTTATTTTAAAAATAAAGATAAACAATATGTGTTTGCCTAATAATAATAATAATAATAATAATAATAGGTTTCCAATATCTCTCCTTGCTTTTAATAGTCTATACTGACTTATTAATTTAGTTGGTTCTTTAGTCTGTCATATTCCCTTTCCATTACACATTTTTTTTATAAATTCTAAATTAATACAAGTTTTAACACTAAAGAAAAAAACAAGTATAGGTTTCCCCCACTTTTACTGCTTTGAGTGTGGCACCTCAGTGGTTAAAATATACCTTTATTCTCTCATCTTGATTCCCAATAAACCATTACTTTTAAGAAGTTACAATAATAATCATTACATCTTTTCATTTGAATTCCACAGCATATTTTCCCCCCTTAATTTTTAATAAGAGTTATCAATATCTATATTACCCTATTTTCTAAATATTTTTAAGAAATATTCGTATTACCCCTTGTCACCCTGCAGAATCCCCTTTTTAATTCATCAACCATTATCTCTGAAAAAAACAATTTCTTTTCAACATTTTACTATTTCTGTATTTCTTTATTTCATGTGCCTGTTTCTTACTGCTTCTCCTCCCCCTCTTTTCTCCATATCTTTTCTCATTCCAGTTTATATCCCTCTCTTTCTTAATATCTTCCTTTCCCCTTTTCTGCTGGGTCTTTCTGCCTTTCCTGACTTCACAGGTATTCCCCCTTTTGATTGCCTTCTTAAGTCTCAACTTTTTAACCTTCCTTCTTTCCCCACTTCTTTGTAGTGTTCTTTGTGTTAATTGTCTATTTAAAATGTCTTCTCCTTGAGTCAAGTCCTCTTCCTCTGAAGCTCTTTCTTCTTGTTCAATCGCCATTTCCATTTTTTCTAACACAGAACAAAGTGATTCGCCTCTTTCCTGTAGTAATTCTCTCATATTTTTAAGTTCCATTTTTAATTCCCGAAAAGATATCATCATTACACACTCTTGTATTTTATGATCGTTAAAGTCCACAAAAAACCACTTTTATTTTCCTTCTTTCTTCTTTCAATTTTCTAAAGTTCTCAGTTATTCCAGCTGAGAGGCTATACCAAAAACATCCATCAATCCCACAGTCAGTCTTTCCTTGCTTTTTTCCTTATTCTGGTTCTGCTTTCCCTTTCTAAGATTCTTACTTTGTTTCAATATTTCTTTAATATTATATCCACACAACTTCATTCAGAAACAGGATGCTTTCTCTTGTTTGAGCTCAAGTTTTTGTCAAAAGGTGGTACTCTCCATTATACAAAGTCTTCATCCTTTTCCCCTATTTTTTTATTTAGGGTTTTTCGAACCTCAATATTCCAACACAGTCCAGTCTCCAATTTGTAAACTTTATTATTATTATTTTTGACAATCTTAAATCCAGCTTTATTTTATGCCTGTTTATTGCCAAAATATTTTAGTCCAATTTAGTTAAATCTTTAGTTCCGGCTTCTTTCTTTCCTGGTTTGAAGCCCTGCTTAGCTGTCAGAAATATTTTCTTATTTTTTTTCCTGTCCCTTTGTAATTTTGCCGCTCACTTTTCTTTTCTTAAAAATTCCATGTTACCTTAATCCCGGGGTACTTTTGTTTAGTTGCATCGCCCAATTGTCCCAGTTCAGATGTTATCCACCTCTTTCTTCCCTCCTGCAGAAATCTTAATCCAGCTGAGTCCTCCTTTTCGGGGTGGCCATTTTAAACCACCGCTGCAGTCGTCTTCGGGTGAAAAAGACCAAGCCCAGGAGGGGAGATGCAGCTCCCCTCCACCTGGCTTGCAGCTTCCACTTACTCCACCGCCCCTCCAAGGCAGCTTCAGCCCCTAGTCGTAATGATTGGGGCTCTCCAACGAAAGAGCAGGGACCATAGCCGCAGAGAGATGCGATCTACAGTCTGTCAGCGAGGAGGCTCCGCCTTCTTCCTGTTCCCAAGACAAGCCAAATCTCGTAGATGATCTTGCATTCTGCACTTATTAAAGGGATACGATATTGCAATAATCTGTGAAATGCCATAGATATAATGGATAGGGATGGATAGAAGTTAAATTTTCTGTTTACAAAGTCACCATTCAGGCAATGGAGTGTACATGTATACATTCTATATTCTATATATATTCTCTATACATTCTATACTCTCTATAAATACCATGCTATATTCTCTGCATCTGAGGAAGAAGAAAGCAGAATTTCATTGAGAAATGTGACTAAGCCCTACAGCTATTAATGCTCCAGAAATTTTTATAGTGAACTGCACATAAGCATTGGGGGAGCTCTTGTTTGGAGCCAAGTGAAGTTATTCCTGAGACCATCATCTGTCAACTGTCCTTAAATATCACATTTCGGTTCTTACTATGTTAAAGAGCCTCTGATTATGACATCGAACATGCAAACAAGCTAAATACATTACTAACATGGGCAGCATCCTGCCCATATGCTTTTATCTTTCTTGGTGACTTCAGCCTACCTCATATTAACTGGACCCTTAACGAATGTAAAACTGAACAAGAAACTAAAGATTCAAGGTCCATCCCACCCCTGAAAGGACCAAATGGTAAAGACTGCAATGATGACACCATTAAAGCCAACCTCTTTAACACATTCTTTGGCTCAGTATTTGTAAACAGCAATGGATCATGCCCAGTATTTCCTAGTCGAACCACAAATGACTACGATGATCCAATACATATCAATGTCACAGAAGACAATGTTGAAAAAGCACTACACAATCTAAAACCATCTCTATCTATTGGACCAGATGGAATATGTGCCAACTATCCACTGCCATAGCCGAACCTCTAAGCATAATCTTTGAAAAATCTTTCAGGACCAGCTCCTTGCCTAACCTATAGTCTCAAGCCACGGTCATCCCCATCTTCAAAAAGAGAGACCCAAGTCTAGTTGAAAA